TCGCCCACAGGTCCCGCCGCGCAGGCCGGCTCGCTGCAGCGGAGGCTCCCCCGGGCCGGATGGCAGGACGGGCGCGTCGTTTCCCAGGTCACCCACCCCAGCCGGCTGGTGGGGCAGAGCTCGGGAGGAGAAGTCCAGAAGCATCAGCTGGACACCAGGGTCAGGAATGAGCCCGGAGGAGGAGGAGGAGGAGGCCCCGTAAGTGAACCCCAGCCCCCCCATCCGTGCTCTTTCTGGGGTCCCCGGGGGGGCAGGCAGGTCCCCAGGCAGCTGCCATCGCCGGCCCGGCCGCACCCCGGCACACGCGTGGCCACCGGCATCCCAAACCGGAGCCTTCATCCCCCTGGGGACCAGGCCACTGCTGTCCCCCCTCCCGGCAGGGCACCGATGTGTGCCGCGACATCCCATTAAATCTGGGTACCGGCGGTGCGCGCGCGGGCGTTAGGAGAGATGAAATGGGAGCGGGCAGGCAGGCAGGGAGCGGGCAGGGAGCAGGCAGGGCTCCTGCAGAATGAATGGGCTCATGGCTCCGGCGCCGGGGAGGACGGATCCAGGCCACGTGGGCGCAGCCCCACGCGTCCCACCCGCTGCCGTCCCCCGAACTGCAGCCGGTTTCTCCACCCCGGGCTCGGTGCATCTGCACCGGCCGGCGACCTTCATCCCGGGGCTGGCGGCCGGTTCGCCCGGCGTTTCGGGGAGCTGGCACACGCGGCCCATCCGGCACCGGGGGGGGGGGTGATGTTTTCAAAGAGGCGGTGGCGGGGGCGGGGGAGGGGGGCGAGGCCTGCCCCCCCCCATCTTCGCTGGATAAAAGGCAAAATAATGAGCTGCGATTGCCGCAAAGGTGATTTAAACCCGGCATTAAGTAAAACCGCCGGACGCCAGGAAACACCGGGGGGTGGCCGGGCCGCCACTGGCGCTGGCGGGGTTTTAGGGAGGTGTTAAGCCGGGGCGTCGCGGGGGGACAGAGCGGCTGCGGATCCCGGGGGATTCGGAGTCGGGATGGTGCCGTGGGGTCCCGGTGGCGGCACCAGCAAAGCCCCAGTGAGGCTCTCCCGGCCGCGCTGCCTGACCCGGTGGACGCGGTCTCGGCTGGGGCCGTCCCCTCCCCGCGATGCTGCACGGTGGCAAACGCGTCCTCATCCCCACGTCCTGAGCTGCACCCGGGGTCCCAGCGAGGGGCTGGGGCGCCCC